CCCATCCTCATAAGACTGTGGCTATCAGCTCAATGGGTGTTGAAGCATGGAGCCTGGAGGTGTGGGACAGGAGCAGGGCTCCTGTGAGGGCTTGGACCCATCCTGTTCCCCCTTCACTGCCCTAGGGTGGACCCTGGGGGGCTTGCAGAGCAGAATGGCATTCGGGTGGGAGACCAAGTCCTTGCAGCCAATGGAGTCAAGTTTGAAGACATAAGCCATAGCAAGGCAGTGGAGGTGCTCAAGGGGCAGACCCACATCATGCTAACCATCAAGGTACCTCTGCCTGGCCCCATGGAACCCCCAGGTGAGGTGGGGGGTTGGTGTGTCCCCATGCTGGCACTTCCCCAGCTCAGTCAGGCGCCTGTGGGGCTGGTGTGGCTGCCAGCTGGTTGGGTTTCAGGCGGGTGGGAAGGCAGGGGGATGCATTATTCATGGCTGGCACCGGATCGGGTTTGCCCGGGACGGCTGGTGTGTGCTGACCCCTCGTTCTCTCCCCTTGTGCCTAGGAGACAGGCCGGTTCCCTGCCTACAAGGAGTTGGTGGCCGAGTACTGCTGGCTCAGTCGCTGTAAGGGCAACACTGTGCGGGTACTGGCAGGGGTACCGGACTGGGGGCCCCATACAAATGGCGTCTGGCCACCACGGGGAGGGAGAAGGTCCACATGCCATGGGGTCCCACAGCCTTGGAGGGGGCATGAAGCTCCCTGTGGTATGGTTAGCATCCCACACTTCTCATGGGCTTGCAGGGCCCCTGTCCTCCGTCCATGTGGACAGCCATGGACAGCAACCCTGTGGTCCTGGTGATCCTTCAGGGTCCTGCATGTTCCCTGTGCCTGGAGCCTGCTGGTTCCCATAACTCTGTGGGATTCCACGTGTCCATTGTAGGGGTCACAGGAGACCCTGTGGCCCTACAGGTCCCCACATACCCGCTGTGCTGGGATGCAGAGCTCCCTGTGACCCCACAGCATGTCACCCCATGTCCCTGCTGTGCCTTCGCAGTGACCAACGGGCAGCTGCAGCAGCTCTCTCAGACCTCAGAGACCAGCTCCTCCATCTCTTCCTACTCCTCGGGGCCAGTGCCAGGGGTGGTGAACGGGATGGGGACAGCCGCCCCAGGGCCCCCTGCCCGCACCGTGGACGTGGCCATCTCCACGGAGGACGGCCCGCGGCGGAGCTGGGTGCGGGACCGTGCTGAGCGGGCCATGCAGACCGAGCCAGCCGCCGAGGTGCTGCCAGAGATGCGGCGCACGGTGCGGCCCCCCGAGCTGCTGCGGGACACAGCCATCCGGGGCCAGGGTGCCCGCGAGCCCCCCGGTACCCATCCACGACGGACCTTTGCCCACTCGCCCAAGACAGCCCTGCTGCTGGCACTGAGCCGGCCCCGGCAGCCCATCACACGCTCACAGAGTGATCTCACCGTCGCTGGTAGGTGCCAGGCCATGGCCCTATGTATGAGTCTTGCCCCTAGCTGGGGTCCCCTCCAACCCTGCACCCACAGCCCTGGGAGTCCCACAGCTCAGACCCTGTTCCTGCTTGACCATCCTGTAGCCCCTGATGCACAGACACCTGGCTCCTGCTCCTGGGCACTCAATACCTCCCCCAGCCCATATTGATCTCTGGCCACCAGCCCTGGCCATCCTATAGTTCTGAGTAGCCCCAGCGCTGCCCCTGGGGCTTAGCAGTCCAGCCCTGAAGACCCGCTGCACCCCACAGCAGGACTCTCTTCCAGTCAATGCCCCCAGTAGCCCCTCCAAACGTCCCCCCCAAGTTCCCGTTAGGGTTGGCATCCCCCGGCCTCCCTATTCCAGCCCTCTTCGTCTCTGTTCCCAGAGGAGAAGCGGAAAAAGGAGAAGCCAGAGGGACAAGGGGCCCGGGCAGGGGCCCCAGGGCTGCACCGCTCCAAAACCCTCGTCAACCTCTTCTTCAAGGGGGGCCGTGCCACCAGCCAGAGCTGGGCCCCTCCCAGCCAGGAGCAGCCCGCTTCCGAACGCAGGGCACGCGCCAAGTCCCCGGGGCGCTCCGACGGGGACAGAGGTACCAGACTGGGGGACAGGATGGAAAGGGACCCAACCATGGACTGGTTCTGCCTTCTGTGGGCACTGTAGCCTTACTGTGGCATCCTTGGCACGGAGGGGGGGCACGGGGAGGATATGTCCATTCATGCAGCTTTGGCAATGGGCAGCGATGCTGCTCCCCCTCGGCACTCACCCCTCTCCATCTCCCTTGCAGTAGGCGCTGTGCAGAAGTTTGTCATCCGGAGCCTGAAGCGGGGTAACGGGGTGCCTGTGTGCCCAGGGGTGCTGTGGGGCAGGCTCTGCATGTGCCTGCCCCTGTGCTGCATGTGCCTGACTGGTGTGGAGCAAGCCATTGGGGTGGAGGGCTTTGTGGGGTGACCAGGGTGGTCCCTGCCCCTCTGGCCATCCCTCTTTGCTGTGCCCCCTTAGAGAAAAGCCGGCGTGCCAGCATCCTAGGCCCCACAGGCATTGCTGCCCTGCAGCCCAATGGCAGCGACCCCGAGGCACGACTCACACACATCCAGGACACTGCTGCACGCCTCCTGAGCCCTGACGAGGTGACGGCCGTGCTTCGCCACTGCTCCAGGGTATGGCACCGCGGGCAGAATGAGCAGTGCAGTGCCAGAATCCCAGGATCATCCCCAGGCAGCTCCTGCATCCCGGGGGCGTTGCCATCAGCACTATGTGCCCACGTTAAGCTCTTGGGGTTAAACTGAAGCATGGGAGGGGTGGGCACCTGTCTGCTGACACCCTTCCTGCACCCACAGTACCTGCATGAGGGCAGCGTGGAGGATTTGGTGCGGCCACTGCTGGCTATCCTGGATCGGCCTGAGAAGGTCCTGCTGCTGCGGGATGTGAGGTGGGTGTGCTGTGGGTGTATCCTGGGGTACCCGGTGCTGCCAGCTGGGTGATTGACCCAGTTTCCCATACAGTCCAGCCCTGATCACACCCCATCTGAGAGGTTCCCACAACCTGTCTGCCCTCTTTACCCCGGCAGGAGTGTGGTGGCTCCCACAGACCTGGGCCGGTTTGACAGCATGGTGATGCCCCTGGAGCTGGAAGCCTTTGATGCCCTGAAGAGCCGCTCAGGTACAGCCTGGTCCCCAAGGGACCTTGGCTGGGGGCAGCAGGCAGAGGTGGGTACCGCTGGGGGCGTGACTGGTGTCTCTCCTTGAGTGCAGTGCGCTCGCCTGCCCTGCGCCCAGCTCACCACGATGTCCCTCCCAGGAGACACCTCATTACACCAGTGCCTGGTGAGTGCCACCCCATGGGGTCTGCCTGGCCTGTGGTGGGGTCTGCAGGCTGGAGGGGGGGGTACAGGGGCAGTCTGCGGTGGGAGAAAGGGAGCTGGGATGCTTGAGTGCAGGGGGTTGCAGGGGAGAGGGCATTTGGTGTCCCTAGATGCTGGGAGGCCCCAGAGTAGCAGGATCTCTGGTTCCTGGGTACCAGGGGGAAGGAGACACAGTCCCTGGAGAGAGATGGGGTGTCTGGGGGCTCTGAGGTGTCAGAGGTCCTAGGGAGGGGAGCTGGGGTGTCTGAATGTCCCTGGAGGAGGAAGATCTGGGGCCCTTTACACCAAGGAGGTCCGTAGGTGGCAGAGGTCCCCAGGCTTTGGCGTTCCCAGGGGATGGCAGGGGTCCCATAAAGCTGGTCTATGGGGTCTTGGGGGAAGGTCTGAGCCCCTCTTGTTGCAGACTATCGCGGCGGGTTCCTGCTGAAGCCAGTGGGGGCCCCAGATCTGGAGGGAGCCGAGGGGCTACAGGCGAGCCCGGGCCGGCCACGGGCCTCTGCCAGCCCCCGTCGGCTTCACCCATGCACCTACACCCCGCTCCCTGACGTGCCAGTGGATGCCTACGCCAGCACCAGCCGGCCCCTGGCCCCCACTGCCCCCAGGCCCCCCAACTGGCTGCTGGCTGAGGCCCCCCTGGGCGAGGGACATGGGCACTCACGCAGCTCCCGGCACAAGGAGGCCTCCAGCATGGTGCCCGATGGGGGGCTCGAGCTGCTGGGGAAGGCTCGGAGAGCACGCCCCCCCCTTGCACCTCTCTTTGGAGGGCCAGGGGGTGAGGCAGAAGCTGGGGTAGCCACCAATGGCCCTGGGGATGCTGGCAGAGAGGAAGAGGAGGAAGAGGAGGAGTATCAGCTGCTTACAGTCACCCTCTCCAAGCTGAAGCACTCGCTGGGTAGGTGGCACATGGGTAGGAGCCTAGGTGTGGGACTCTCCTCCTGGTACCAGCATCACTGGCTTGCCAGGCACCCCATTTAGGGGGCAAAGCCCCAAGCCCTCCTCCAAAATAGAAGATGAGGAGGTGCCTCTGCCCCAGCCCCTCATTCGTGCCCAGGGGAGGGTGTCCCATGCCCGGGAGTGGGTTGCAGTCTACCTGGTGTGAGGGCCTCTTGGCTCCTTTGCAGGGATCAGCATCTCTGGAGGCATCGAGTCACGGGCACAGCCCGTAGTGAAGATTGAGAAGATCTTCCCTGGGGGAGCTGCCTTCCTCAGCGGCATCCTCAAGGTATGGGGGGCACTTGAGAGCACCCAAACACCCCCATCCCATGGCGCTGCTGGGTGTTGGCAGTGCCCTGGCACTCCAAAAGCAGCTGTGCTTCACTCCACTGTCTTTCCTTACGGGGTCCAGGCCGGTCAGGAGCTGGTGTCAGTGGATGGACAGAGCCTGCAGAACGTCACCCACCAGCGGGCTGTGGACATCATCCGCCAGGCCTACCGCAACAAGGCCAAGGAGCCCATGGAGCTAGTGGTGCGGGTGCCTGGAGGTGCCCCAGAGTGATGCTGTACATATCCCCCTCTTCAAGAAACCATCCTGTGCTCCAGAGGCCAGTCTCAATGCAACGAGAGGGTGCAAGAGCCAGACCTACCCCACAGGCATGGGGAAGCTGCTCGCAGCAGGACCTGAGGTGGGGCACAACTGGTGACATAGAAGGAGGACAAACAGCCCCTGACCCTGCTCTGGACACAAAGACACAGCCCTGAAAAAAACACAGCCAGGGGCTTGTTTTTAATCAGCGTTCCCGGGTGGTACACGGGTGAGCCGGGCTCTGGGAGCAGCACACCACTGAAATAAAGTACAACACCCCCCACCACCACCACCGGAGCCAGGGGTGACCAAGCTAGAGCTGGGCACAGCCAGGCTTTTCCTTTGGTTTGACCCTGCTGGGTGGCCAGCTGGGACCCCCAACTCTGCTCACCCTAGTACTGTGCCCCTCTCCCTGGCAGGCTGGGCATTGCAGGGGCATGGGCCCAGCTTATTCTGGGTGGAGGAAGAACAGGGGGATGCTGGGGGTGAGGGTATGGGAAAGGCACTGAGGGCAAGGTTCCCTGTGGCAGGGGTGATGGGGGCACAGACAGGTGGGGTGTGAGCTAGGAAAGGGTGATACGTTTTGGTAGGGCCTATAAAAATAGAGTTATTTAAAATGGCACAGAAATGACTCCCCTGACACACACACACACAGGAGGTGAGGGGGAGGCTGGCATGGGCAGGGATGGAGCACACACGATCTCCTCTGGAAGTGGCTGGGTGGCAGTGCCAGTAGGGATGAGAGGGAGGGGGCAAGTCAGCCCTCCCTCTGCCCAAGGTGACCCTGGCTGAAGCCAGCACTGCTAATCCCTGTGCACTAAGAGGATCAGCAGCAACCAGCTCCCGATGGCCCCAATGCCAGGACTCAGCACCCACCTGGTTCCACATCTCACGGGCACCCCCTCAATGCAGTGGGTACCAACCCACCCTCACCCCAACACCTCCATGTGGGAAGGGGGCAGCTCCTTCGGTCCCCTTTGTCCCCTCCCAGTATCAGCAGTCTCTGCAGAGCCAGAGGGAGAGCAGGGATCACCCAAGCTCCCCAAATCCCAGGAGCTGGAACCCCCTCACCCCTCCGAGCACAGGGTGAGGGAAGGCAGTGTCTCAAATCTCTGTGGCTGTGATCTCCTCGAAGGGTGGGTCAGGGCCAGGGGGGTCACAGTGCTCAGGTGGGGGTTCCTCGCCCTGGAGCCGGAGATGCTGGAGCCTCTGCTCAAGCCGCCGGTTGCGGCGGTACATCTGGATGTAGCTGTACTGCAGCTGCTTCTGGTAGCGGATAACCCGCTCCTTCTCACCCTGCCATGTGCCGCGCTCCTGCTCGAAGGCATCCCGCTGCTCCTGCCCGCGCCTCCGCTCCAGGGCCACCTCTGCACGCAGCCGCTCCAGCTGCCGCCGCAGCCCCGCGCTGCCCCGGGGCTCCTCACCAGGCTGGGGACACCCCTCACCGGGTGGTGGGCACCCCTCACCGGGTGGAGGGCACCTCGCATGGGCAGCTTCCCGCAGCCCTGCCAGCTCCTGCTCCAGCCGCCCGGCTTTGGCGCGGAAGAGGTCGGCCTCGCTCTTGCGACGCTGCAGTTCGTTGGCACAGACCTCCAGCTCCAGCGCCTTGAGGCGGGCGGCCTCCTGCAGCCCCTGCGCCCGCCGCTCGCCCGCCTGCAGCTGCGCCCGCGCCTCCCGCAGCTGCGCCCGCAGCCCCAGCAGCTCTGTGCTGCGCTGCGCCAGCTCTGCCTGCGCCTCCTTCAGCTGCTGCTTCAGCAGGGAGATCTCACCTGACTTCTGGCACACCTGCAGGGGGACAATGGGGCTCAGGTGCCGGCTGGGACCCCCACGCCTGCACCCCTGACTTGCCTGGCACTGTCAGGCAGCTCACCTCCCACTTGGTCTCCTCCAGCCGGGGTGCCAGCTCGGTGCGCTCACGCTGGAAGGAGGCGCAGCGGCGCTCCAGCAGCTCCCGCTCCTGCAGCAGCTGGGCAAAGTCCTCCTGCAGCTGCTTCTTCTCCTGCTGCAGCTGCAGCACCTGGAGCTGCAGGACCTGCTGCCCCCGCTGTGCTGCCTGGGCTGCCTGCCGTGCCTGGGCCGCACAGCGCTGCCGGAGACCCTCTAGCTCCTGCTCACAGCGCCGCTGCTTCTCCTCGTACACCTAGGGTGGGGGACAAGGGACACACGCACGACACATTCAACTTCCGGCTGCTGCAGGATGGGCACCCCCCTCCCCATGGCACATGCCCCCAAAGGAAGGAGGGGTACAGGAAGGCTGCAATGTAGTGATGCCTGCCTCTTTGTGCTCTCCCACATCCCTCTGCATGCTGGCTCCCCCATGTCAGCACCCCCAGAATCTATAGGGCTCCCTCAGCTCCACCACAAGCAGGGAGAAGCTGCAGGTCTCAGGCATATTCAAAAAGGGCGCTCCAAAATGGAGCATCCCAGTCTGTGCAACTGGTCCCCAGCAGCCCAGGGACTACGTAAGACTACCCAACATCAGGAAAAAGCCACTGACACACAGAAAAAAGCATCCTCATATAAGGGTCTGGAGAGGGTTCCCAAGGGTGTCCCTGCCTTCCAACCAGGGGGGAAATTCACTCAGAGGAGGCGAACAGGGAGAGGACAGGGGGACACCAGAGGCATACCTGGCAGATGGCCACCTCATTCTCATCCAGGCTGTCACGCAGGAGCTGCAGCTCGGCCTCCCTCTCCCGCAGCTTGTCCTCCAGCTCCCGCACCAGCATGGCTTCCTCACCGGGCAGAGGTGAGCGCCCGCAGGAGCCGCTCTCGGAGGAGGGCCGGCCACGGCCGCTCAGCGAGCCCGTGCTCTTGCTGGAGGATGAGCGCCCGCTGTCTGAGTTGGAGGGGCGGCAGCCCCCCGGCTGGTCGGGGGGACCATGGGGGGTGGGTGGCAGGGCTCCCACCTCGGGGTGCTGGCTGCAGCCCGTGCTGTAGGTGGGCAGGCTGGAGAGGGAGTTGCGCCCCGAGTCCGAGAGGGTGCTGGCGCGGCAGCTCAGGGAGCCAGGCTTCTCGGCACCCAGCAAGTGGGTGAGGCTCACCTGGCTCTCCGAGAGCCCAGGGCGCACCACTGTCTGGGCGCTCCGGAGCTTGGGCACCACCGGCTTGAAGGCCATGGGGCGGATCAGGGTCTTCTCCACGTTCTGCCAAGGAAGAGGGGAAGAGTGCAGGGGGGGGCTAGGGAACACCCATCACTCTCCCAAGGGGGTGCCGCAATGCCTTCCCACCCCAGACAAGGGCCAGCTGCTGCCTGCTCCATCCCCCCTTCATGGGGTACTCAGGTGGGCTCCCCCTCACACAACCCTTACATGAAAGAAGGAACATCATGGGCATGGGACCACCACCTGCCCAGAGACACCAAATAGGTAGCAACATGGCCCCAGTTAGCCGACAGCCCCAGTGCGGCATAGGGAGCAAAGCCACAACCCAGCACACATCCACCCACCCTGCTGCTCTCCCCTCCCTACCTCCTCCAGCTTGCCAGAGACAGGGACAAGCTTGGGGGGGGGGGCCCGGAGGTGACCACTTGGGGCTTGGTCATCGTGGGGCTCATCTGAGTCACTGCAGAGGCTGGTGGGAGACGGGACGTCGAGCCAGTCACCACAGAAGCCTCCATTGGCATAGGCATGGGTGACACCAGGCATGGCTGGGTGGGACTCCTCGGGAGATGGGGGGTCCCGCTGGGTGGCCCTGAGCAGCCCCTCCTGCTTGCGGAAGGAGGCGGTGGGAGGGTCCCCATTGCAGGGCTGGCTGGTGCAGTCGTGGCGGGGCCGGCCAGGCAGGAGGCTGCCGACGCTGCCCATGGTGGCAGGGGGCGAATGGACAGCAGCACGGAGCTGTGCAGCCCCCTCATCGACGGCCTCGAGGGGCACCGGCAGTGTCTGCACGATGGCCATGACGCGGGGAGCCCCGGCGGGCAGGGGCACATGGGCAGCCTGCAGGCAAGGGAGAGAGGGCATCAGAGCTGTGAGCACTGCTGGACATGCCCCACTGGCTACCACCATCCCCAGTCCTGTGGTTGCAGGCTGACCCGAGGAGGGGCTGGCAGAAGGAGATGCCAAATGAACCAGAATAAAACCAGGATTAGCCCAGGAGGGTGGCAGCAGCACCCCCCAAGCTGGGCTCAGCACCCCAGTGGAGCATCCTGGGGCTGTGGGGTGCTGGTGGCACCGTGACGCAGTGGCATGCAGTCGTCCTGCCCCCGCCGTGCCCTGGCATGACCCTGCTGCAGGAAGTGTGCCAGGGCTGGAGGCAAATCCCAAGAGGCCCACGGACAGCCAGCTCCTGGGCAGCCTGCCCACCAGCTCCACGGCACTGCCTGCCCCACAGCACCCACCAGCACAGCCCCCACAGAGAGTGGGGGCAGCCATACACACTGGGGACAGCCACTTCCCTGCCCCACAGCCCCCACCCCAATGCATGGGTGTCCCCTGTTCCCACCCCACACACTCCCCTCCAGCTCTGCCAGTGCCCCCATACCCCAACCCAGGCCATACGCCCGCGTGACAGGCGCCAGCCGATGGGCCGGATCCGTCCCCTGCTGCCTCATCGTATCGTGCACATGGCTGCGGCTGGCACGGGGTGTAGGCGGGGGGGCACCGCCCGCAGAGCTGTCACCTGAAATCAATCTGCCTGCCAGTGCCCGGGGTGGGGACGACCACGGGAGAGACGCCGGCGAGCCAGAGCCCACCCAGCCACCAGCACCCTTACCACAGCAGCATGCCCATGTCACCCCAGGGTGGGAAGGTGGGTGACCCCCACCCCGGCTCCACTCACCTCGCCAGCTGCTGCCCATCCGTCCGGTCCACTCGGGTCCCCACACCAAGAACACAGCTCTACCGGCCGCTGAAGTGGGAAGGAGCAAGAGGAGGGGGTCAGGGTGCTGAAGGGCAACGGGGGTCCCTGAGCCGCACGCAGCCCCCCCCCCCGGCAGGAACAGGGGGAGCAGTGCCAGCGTGGCACGGAGGGTGGCAGGGGAGCCTGGCAGTGGGCGCGCTGCTCCAAGCACCCAGGGATTGCTGTGGCCACCCCGGGAGGGGCGGTGGGGACAACAGCCCTCAGCATGGAGGGGCACTGCTGGAGGGGCACGAGCAGGGATCACGGACACGGAACCCCCAAAGGGACATCTCGGGGCACCGGAGCCGCAGCCAGAGATGTGCGCAGCACCGCATCCCAGCGAGACTGCTCCGGGACGTGCACGTCAGGGCACCCCTAGGGACAGCCGGGTCCCCATATGGACACCGGGGGGGACACCGCCACCGCCGGGGCCCCGCGCTGGGCGGCGGGGGGAAGGGAACCCGTTTTCTCCTTCCCGCAAGCCCCCTCGGCCCGCAGACAGGGTCCCAGCGCTGCCCGAGAGGGAGGGGGCAAGGGGCCCGGGGGGGGGGGGGGGCAGCTCAGCAGGCAGCGCTCGGCAAAACATCCTCCAGCCACCCAGTAAAACCAGTCAGCAACTGGGGCGGCGTCACAGCCAGCTGCTCCGGCCGGAGCACCGCGGAGCCGCATCCCACCGTTCCGACCCCGGAACGGCAACGCGAGACTCGGCCCCTGCTCGGCCAGACCCGCACCCTGAGCTGATGGGTGTTCCGGGGGCTCTCGGGCCTCGGTGGCACCGCAGGACCCCCCCAGGGGTAGGAAGGATCGGTCCCTCATCCCTCCCCACACGCACCCGGTACCTGTGGGGTGGGTACCCTCCCTATGCTTAGCTGTGCCCCCCCACCATTCCGAGGCACCCTGGGTGGTGCTGGCCCCCTTGACTGCCCCATGTTTCCCCCTTGCCCTCCCCCCCACCACACTGCCCCTTATAGCCCCACAACACCCAGCCTGCCCCATAGTGCTTCCACCCTGCCCGGCTGCACAGCGCCTATAAGTGCTCCATGGCATCTCAGGGCCCCACTGCCCCACAGCTCCCCACAAGAGTCCTACAACATACCTAAAGTTCTCCATGACACCACCAAAGTGCCCTACAGAGCCCAGGGGCCTGTACAGCCCCACAATACCGCGAAGTGCCCCATAACACCCCCAAAGTGCTTCACAGACAGCCTGGGTTTCTGCTGCCCCACAGCTCCCCCCATATCCCCCTAAAACATCTTCAAAGTGTCCCGCAGAGCCCCAGGGACTCTGCTGCCCCACAGCTCCCTTAAAGTGCCCTTAAAGCACCCCTAAAGTGTTGCAAAACACCCCCAAATTGCCCCACAGCATCCCTGGGCCTGCACTGCCTCACAGCTTCCCCAGAGTGCCCCTAAAGCACCCCGAAAGTGCCCCACGACCCCCTAAACTGCCCCATAGAGCCCTGAGCCTCTGTATCTCCAGAGTACCACCAAAATACCCCGAAACACCCCAAAGCGCCCCACAGTCGCCACTGCTCCCAGGACCCCCCTCAAAGCGGCCCCCCCAAGCCCCCAACCCCCGGCAGCGCCCCCAGAGCGCCCCCCAACCCTCTCCTCCGAGGTGCCCCCCGGGACCCCCGCGCCCCAGCCGTCTCCCGCAGCCCCCCGAGACCTCCCCGGCCCGGCCCCGATCCCCTCACTCACCGCGGCCCCGCTGCCGCCCTCCCGCGCCGCGCCGCGCCCCGCCACCCCGCCCCCGCCCTAAGCCCCGCCCCTAGACGTGACCCCGCCCCTCGTTAGCCCACGCCCCTCCCGCGAAGCCACGCCCCCTCACAGGAAAGAGGGCAGGGGCTGGGGGGGGGCTCGCAGGGGTCACCCCCAGTCACATCCATTCGGGGTGATTTCCGAGCTGGGGGGCACACACACACGACACACACGGGGCTTGCCCCCTTTTTTGCACCAGCCGAGCCCCCCCACCTCGGGGGTCTCCCCCCCCAAACCTACAGGATGAAGGCTGTGCCGGATACGGCCCCCCCAGATTACTCCGGGAGCTCAGCACCCCGCCAAGGGGCAGGAAGGTTCTGCCTCGCCTGACATTCGCCTCCCCATCCCTCCCCCGTGAGATGTGTTACTGCCACCCCCCAGCACTCCGAGAACCCCTAACTGGTGAGAACGGGAGACACAACAACCCATCAGCACACCTGCAGCCCGGGGAGCTGCGGGTACCCCCTGGCACCTCCCCAGGGTCTGGGATCACACAGGGTCCCCCCCCCAGGCTCAGCTCCATCACCCCCTCTCAACTCCAGGGAGGGATGGGTGAGAGGTGAGGGTCCCAGGGTTTCCCACTGCCCCACTTCCAACCCACAGCTCCATGACAGCAAGACTGGGGAAATGGGGATCAGGGAGCCAGAGGGGACTGAGGGGGTAGAGAACACCCAGTCCCCGGGGGCCTGGCTCCCACTGCCACCACCACCCCCTTCCCCCTTACCTCTGCTTCCTCTGCCATCACCCTCAGCCTGCCCTGGCGGAATGGGGGGCTCACACCTGCACCCACAGGTGCTCTCGGGAGAGCCGGTGCACCCCGGAAACCCGGGGCTGGGTGTGTACCTCCCGCACGCCCCAGCCCCTCATTATGGCTCAGGATAAAACTATGCCCAGTGCACAGGTTGGCAATAACTGGGCAGGGGCAGGATGCTTTGCACAGCGGGGACAGCCTCTGTGGTGCCCCTCCAACCCCAGGGTCCCCCAGTCACAGCAACAGCAGCACAGAAACAGCTATCACCTTTCTGCTTTATTAAAACTAGAAAGAACTGAAGGATTAGACCAAGATCTGGCCATGGACTTGTCCTACCACAGGTAGGTCACAGCATTTGCTGCACAGAGCCCGAGGGCATGGGGATGGCCACCCCCTAGCCCAGCAGAGCGAGGCAGGACTGCTCCTCCTGAGGTTTTACTGCTGGTGATGTCCCTGAAGAAAGGAGCTGGTGGAGACTCTGAGCAAAGGGGCTGAATTGTGGGCAGAGCTCTCAGCAATGCCTGCCACCCGTCAGGAGTGATATCCTGGGGGTCCAGCTCCCACCACGTCCCACGGACAGCAACAGCCATTCACAACCTCCCACACTTCCATCTATCACCTTCCTCTCACTGGCTCCAACCCAGCCAGGATCCATCCCAAAGACCCCCATCTGTGACAGGGGATTCAGCCATGTGTCTGTCTGCAGGACCCCAACCTCCCCCAGTGACAGTCCATGATTTCAGCTCCGTTATAGCCACAATTTAAATACCTGTGCCAGGTCTGGAGATCCCCCCTCCATACTGCCCATGCTGCCTCCACTCCCCACCATGCTCCCAACACTCAGCACCAGTACAGCACAGTCAGTATTTGCCAAAGCACCCTTGCCTGGCTGCTCTTCTCTGGGATGAGGCCAACCTTGTTTCTTGGTGGCCCCACGTCTCACAGACACCATGGCGGTGGCCAACAGGCTTGTTCTTGCAGGAGAAAGGGCCACAGCAGTGTGTGGCTGCTGCTCCCTTGGGAGAGGGACTGGTGTACCCCAGCCCCATGCTCCTAGCACCAGTCCTCGTTCCTTCTGACAGGCTGAGGAAGAGACCTGATGGGCTCACAGCTTCTTAGAGGCTCCTGAGCTTCCCTCTGGAGCTTTCTTGGCTGAAGGTGCCTTTGCAGCTAAAGGCGCCTTCTCCTCCTTCACCTTCTTCACCTTGGCCTTGCTTTTGCTGGAGAAGGTGAGCGAGGTCTTGCTGAACTCCAGGGGGAAGACACCCACGTCCCCGTCAAAGCGGTTCTTGGACACCTGCAGGTAGCGCTTCCCTGGCCCTGACGCCAGCTTACGGTCCTGCAGGATGAGGACATTGTCGGCCTCCTGGCTGGCCTGCGGGAAGGAAAACATCTCCAGGATGATGCTGGGGATGCAGCCAGAGGCAGGGGCTCCTTCGAGCCCTGGTACGGGGCGTCCCAGGCCATGGCAACTCCAGCACTTCCCTGACACCAACCCCTCGTCTCCCCCAGGGACACCTCAGTGACCTGTTGGGCAGACAGCTTGAGCAGCACACCCTGGGAATCAAGGGAGCACTGTGCACATTCACAGAGCACCTCCTGCCCACAGCTGCAAGGTTACTCAGCATCCCAGCAGAGACTGGGGCACTTAGAGCTCATCCCTCCACCCTCCCTGGCTCCTTCTTTAATTACCTTCTCCTACATCCCACTCATATTCAATGAGCGTTAATTAACTGCACGTAAAGCCCCATCAGCGCTTTAGCTGGCAAAGGATTTGCTCTCTGCCTGCATCTCCCTGGCCAAATTGGGACTCCACACATCTGCAGTGAACGACAGGAATCCTGGGGACATCCTGCCCCTCACGGCACTCTGTTTCCCCAGTGATGACCCATGGTGCTGGTGGGAGCGGGGGACAGCTGCCCAACGTATCCCTGCCCCACCTAGGAACACACTGTGCCTGAGGGACAGGATAGGCCACCCCAGCCCAGCTCACCTTGGCAGAGCCAAAGATGGAAGCTGTCTGCAGCTCCTTCTCATCATCCTCCTTGCGGGGATGGATGACCAGTGTGATGTGACAGTTATTGTCCGTGGCAAACTTGCGGAAGGCACCAACGATGTAGTCCTGTGCAGCGAGCCTGCCATGGCAGTGAGAACAGGGTCAGGGGCTCACTCTCCATGAGGCTCTTGGGCCCATGTAGGAAAAGGGATGGGACATGACAGGGATCATGGTAACCGGCTCATGCTTTCCCCACCTCCTCCTCCCCAAGGCAGTGATCGCCCTTCAAGGAAACTGGGCTGCCAGACAGGACTAAAGCGCACAGCCCCTGTCGTGGCACACAGCAGGGCCAGCTCCAGCAACGACAGTGGCAGAGGAAGGAGGGGGCAGCTTGGAGAAGGGCTACCTGTCCACAGAGAGGTGCTCATATCCCATCATGAACTGGAGGTTGTCAACGACCACGTGGGTGATGTCGTACATGTAGACAGCGTGTTGCATGGTGTCAATCACAGCCCTGGGTAGGGGGAGACTGGGATCAGCCCCGGAGATCAGCGGAGGCAGGGATGGGGATGCTGAGCCAGGCATGGGGATGCGGAGAGGCTGAGCTGGCTCCTGGCGCATCCCACCTCCACATTTCCTCCGTTGCAGGACAGGCACAAGCCTCATCCCCATGCTTCACCCCATAGGTGAGGGCAGCAGGATCAGGAGAACCCAGCCCCTACCCACCACCCTGTGATCCTCCCCCAGCCCACACGGGATGTGTGCAGGTGCAACAGCACCTGGTGAATAAAAGCAGCCAGAGGTGCCTGTCCTGCTCCCCAGCAAACAGCAGTGCTGCCAGTGAGCAGGGTGTGTGGGGGACACATCCTGCCACGGGCAGAGGCTGATTTTAGAGCAGCCACCCAGCACAGGAACAGGCCCTCTCCCTTCACCCCCACCCCAGAAGAAGGCTGTGAGAGTCCCCACATGCCAGCCCTGGTACTAGAACAGCAACAACATGCCTCCTGCCAGCCCCAAACCTGCAGAGGAAGAGCCCCAGCTCCCCAGTGCCCCACAGCACATGCTGTGAGGGATAACTGCTACTGGGGATGAAGGTGTGGGACCATACTTGATGTTCTGTTGGCCATGGAAAGTCATGAAGTAGAGCGGGAGGTCCTCAAAGCGATCAGCCCACTCATCATACAGCTCCAGCTTGTCATCCAGGCACTGGGTGGCAAACTGTGTCAGCATGATCTTGGCCAGGCGGATGTTGTTGATCTCAAAGCTGCCCCACAGCGTGCACACCCCCTGCATGCACAGGTCCAGCGCGTACTCACTGATAAAGGTTGTCTTCCCACTGCCCGTCGGGCCTGGTACAAGGACAATGACAGGAGGAATTAGCCAGGGGAAATTATCTGACCCATCCTGAATGCGTTTTGGGGCTGTTCAGAGGTGGAAGTGCCAAGGAGCGGGATAAGAGCAACCTATCCACAGCACTCCCACCATATACAAGCAGCATCTCCTGCTTGGCTGCATCTCTGGACACACACATGTTGCTTCCAGCAGCCAGAAGGTCCCTGTAGGGTGTGATGAAGGGCTGGCACACGAAGGGCTCAGAGAAGAGGTGGCAGGTGGAAGCAGGGGTGAGGGACACCCCAGGATTTCCTATGCTGCCTCAAGCAGTGAGCCCATCACCACACTGGTGGATGGATCCAGCCCCACTGCACTCAGGACAGACTCAGCCGAAGCCACAGGCATAAAGGGACCTGAAAGATTTGCAAGGCATCACCCCCAAGAGGTGAAGCACCAAAGAGCCTTCTGCTCTCCCCATCCACCAGCAGTTTGCCCATCACCTGTGAAGACAGTGAGCTCCCCTCTGCGGTGCCCTTTGAGGAGCTTGTTGAGCTCGGGAAAGCGTACCCACTTGACGCCAGCCACCTGCTCGCTGTTGACCAGCTCCCCAAACACCTCCTCACGCAGCTGCCGGAAGGACACGATGGATTTGTGGCTGGCGGGCAGGGCGGCACGCAGGATCTTGGTGAGGTTCAGGCCCTGGTTCAGAGCCTCCAAGGGCCGGGGCTGCAGGTTGCCGGGGCGCACCAGGGAGCAGCGCTTGAGGCTCAGCTTGCGGGCAAAGAGCTTGGCGGCTTCCCAGGAGCGCAGGTCCTCGCCCAGCCACAGTGTGATGCGCTTGAACTGCTCCAGGTAGGGGAGGAGGGCGGGGGGCAGGCAGGTGGACCCCCGTGGCAGGGCCAGGCTGGCCACCCCTGTGGCTTGGTGCAGGGCCAGGGCATCCAGCTCCCACCCCGTTAACACCAGCTCTGTGTCTCGGCAGCTGATCAAGGGCAGACCAAAGAGATTGCGATACGAATCAAAGCGGGGTAAAGTCTCTTCCACATAAACTATCGTATCCCCCTTCTTCTCCACCCGCAGAAGCTTCAGGCCTTTTAGGGTGGCATCACGGGGACTAAACCAGGGGAAGACAAGGGACTTAGCAGTCCTCAGATAACGCACCCCAAAGCGTTTCAGGGTGGCATCCGTTACCGGGTTGATACCGAACATGGCCTTGGTCTCCTTGGTCTCATCCTTATCCAACAGATCAGAGAGCGGCAGCGCCCGCTCCCAGATGCAGCGGGCATCCTCACGAGCCCGCCGCATGTCCTCCTCTGCCTCCTCCGAGCTGTAGGGGGAAGCGCCGCGGTGCTGCAGCTCCACGTTGGCCTGGAAGTCCTGCCAGGTGCCCTCGGCCAGGGTGGCCGTGCACAGGAAGCTGCCCGTCGTCTTGTCAATGAAAAGCGTGTAAGGGGTGCTGGCGGCCGGCGGCTGCTCCTCCCGGCCGGCGGTGAAGAAGCTGGGGGTGTGCAGGCAGCTGTACCCGTCGCGGAAGGGGATGCCCTGGGCGCGCAGGTACTGCCGGATCTCGGTGATGGTGACGGAGGGCACGGGCCCCTCGGGCAAAGGCAGCACGTCCTTCTTGTAGCGCCGCTGGGTGAGGCGGCCCGGCACGCCGGGGCTCAGGGAGGCTCCCTTGCTCCTCGCCCCGCAGCACAGCAGCGGCAGGAGGCGGCCGGCGGCTCTGCAGGGCCGCAGGGGCACCACCGCCATCCTGCCCGCCCCGGACGGCTGCCGATCCGCATCGGCCGCTGCCCCACGGTCCCCTCCCGGTTCCCCCCGGTTCCGGCGCCGCTCACGCCGCCCCCCCCACGTGGAGCTCCGCGGTCGCCGCCATTGCCCGCCCCGCCGCGTTCAGCGCGCCACTTCCCCAAGGGCCGGATGCGGATGTCCTGCGCTCCCGGCGCGGTTCCGGTTCCCGGGGAAGAGGCGCCATGACGGGCCGCGGGTCGCCCAGCCGGTTCCTCACGTCCGTCCTGCACAACGGCGTGGGCCGCTACGTGCGGCAGCTCCAGCGCCTCCAGCTCCTCTTCAGCCCCACCGCGGCCGATGCCCGCGGCGCCAGGTACCGCCCCGGGGGCACCGCACCGCTGCCCCTGAGCGCCGGGGTGGGGGGTGTGTGGGGTGTGTGTATTGGGAAGGAGAGGAAGAGGAAGGCTTGGTGACCCCTGATCTCTGACCTGGTGGGGAGGGGCTGGTGAGAGCCTGTGTGTGTGTGTGTAATACAGAGCTGATGGTGGTAATAACAACGGTAAGGGGAATAACAAGGGGACAGAATACAACCGCTAACCACCTGCCGACCGATACCCAAAGCCCGACCCCAGCAGCGATCCAGCCCTTCCGGGTAACTGCCCCCAGTTTATATAGCGGGCATGACGTGCTGTGGTATGGAATAATATACCACAGCTATCCCTTCGGCTAGTTTGGGTCAGGTGTCCTGTCTCTGCTTTCTCTGGGCCTCCCGTGCCCCTCCTCACTGGCAGAGCATGAGACGTAAGTCCTTGATCAGAGTAAACATTACTAAGCAACAACTAAAACATGGGTGTTATCAGCATTGTTCTCAGACCAAAGCCAAACTACAGCACTGCACCAGCTACTAAGAAGGAGAAAACCACTGAAAACCATTACAGCTGAAGCCAGGGCAATGGGGAAGGGAGAGGGTGCTGCTGAGCTCTGACCCACAGAGGTGGGGGTCACTGCTGACCCTCAGCACACAGGCAGGCTGGTGGTGATGTCTGCCCTTCACCATGAGTGGGGCTGCAGTGACCTCTGACCACACCAGACCCCCTCTCCCCCTACAGGCAGTTCGTGGAGGAGGAGGCACTGGACTTCGCGCGGCAGCACCCCGATGTCGTCCTCTACGTCAGGCCCTGCTCCAACCCGACACCGGTGCTGGTGGCTGAGTACTGTGAGTGCAGTTGGAAATAGGGGGATGTGGGGCAGGATGATGGAGTCCCTCCTGTGCTGGTGCTCCCCCACCTCTGCCCTGCTGTGGACAGCACTGGGGATGGCTGCTCTGTGGGGCAGGGGAACAGCAGCCACCCCCCAGGGGGAGTGTTGGGGAGGAAGGAGGGGAATGCGCCTTGGCCTGTTCCAGTGGAGGACCACGAAGATGCTCAGAGGTCTGGAGCATCTCTCTTATGAGGAGAGACTGCAGGAGCTGGGCCTGTTCAGTCTAGAGAAGAGAAGGCTGAGAGGGGATCTCATCAATGCATATAAATATCTCAAAAGCAGGTGCCAGGAGGATGGTGCCAGCCTCTTCAGTGGTGCCCAGTGACAGGCTGAGGAGCAATGGCCATAAACTAAAACACGGGAAGTTTCACCTCTTCATGAGGAAGGACTTCTTTATGCTGAAGGTGGCAGAGCACTGAACAGGCTGCCCGGGGGGGTTGTGAAGTCTCCTTCTCTGGAGCCATTCAAAACCCGCCTGGATGTGTTCCTGTGTAAGCTGCTCCGGGTGGTCCTGCTGTGGCAGGGGGGTTGGACTGGATGACCTCCAGAGGTCCCTTCCAACCCTAATGATTCTGTGCTCCCTTCCTGCTCTGCCACAGTGAATGGGACAGTGCGGGAGGAGCTCATCACCAGCAAGACAAGCGAAGAGATCCTGCAGCTGGCCACCAAGCTGGCTGGCCAGTCCGGCCTGGACATCATCCGCATCCGCAAGCCCTTCCACACCGACAACCCCAGCATCCAGGGCCAGTGGCACCCCCTCACCAACAAACCCTCCATCCTCACTGTGCGGGGCCCACGGCTCCAAGCCCAATAAAACCTCAACCCCACACCCTGTGCCTCTGCATCCACCTCTCCTGCCCACAGAGAAAACATCACTTCCAGACAGAGCCGTGTTTATTGCCAGGGGGCACATGGGGCTGTGTATGAGGGGTGCCAGACACAGAGGGTGATGTACCTCCTTGCAGAGGGTGGGTGCTTGGGGGTGGCTTGGTCCCACCTTGCAGCAAAACCAAGGGTTGGGGCAGGATGGGGGAATGCAGGCGTTTGGCTCTTGCCTTTTCCCACTGCACCTCACCCTGCTGGGGCAGGGAGGCCTGGGCTTCAGCCTGCTGGGGATGCCAAGGGCTGCCACGCTGTTCCTGCCCCCCCTGCTGGGCTGAGCTCCGGGTGATGTCCTGATCCTGGAAGTGCCAGCAAGGAACACAGAAGGGAGGTCAGGCACCTCAACAAGTCTCTCCCTTCGCAGCTTCTCCAATGTCACAGACCTGTCCCCACAACGGGACATGCTTTTGTCACTCCAGTTCCTCAGGTTCGCCCAGGAGGTGGCAGGAGAGGTAGTTGGGGGGATTTAGGGACAGAGGCTGCCCCTTGAAAGTGCCTTGAAGGGCAGGAGGCCCCAGTGGGAGATGCCATGTCCAGGACTCCTTGCTCTTTGAGGATGTTTCCCTTCCCACATGTTGTTCCGTGGTGGACAGGGCTGTGCCTGAACCCCAGTTCTCCAGCAGCACCACACAGGAGGGCAGAAACATGGGGCTGCAGAGGCACTGCAGAGGCACTGCAGACGCTGTGGGGAATGCTGGTGCTGCAATAAGTCCCCTGCTACACCACAGGGCACGGCTGCCAGTCCTGCTGCCAGTGTGTCCTGCTGCTGCATCCTGCTCTTCCTCTGCAGCGCCCTGGGGAGAGAGGGCAGAGCACCGTCAGGGTCAGAGGTCCCAGAGGTGCCACCTCCCCCAGTCACCCAGCCCTGTGTTTTACCTGTATCCTCCTCACGGCAGGCACACATTGCTCCACCAGCTGCTCCAGGACATTGTGGACGTCAGCTTCCTCACCCAGCCCCAACACTCACTGAACAGTCCTCTTCCTGGAGCCATCCCTGGGGGCAGATGTGGGAGAGCGGGCAGGGGCTGGCAGCCAGCAAGGCCACCCCCAACAGTGTGACTTGTGTCCACAGCCCCTCTCCTGTGAGCAGAAAGCTGAGGAGCCCCCAGCCCCGCTCCCTGCTCCTCACCCACCTCTCAGCAGCCAAGGGACACCCAGCAGGGCAGGCCAAGTCCATGCGTCCACAACAGCATCTCTCTCACACCTGGACAGACGGACAGACAGAAACTCTCCCTCCCCCCAGGGTCCACCTTCAGCCAGGTGCCAGCTCCTGCCTCCAGCTTGTGGCCACCGTCAGTGGGTTTTTATACATAAATAGAGCTCCAAATTTAAATAGATTCTTTTTTTCTGTATAGCGAGTCTCAAAAGTCAGAGAAAAGCCACAGGAATGGCCGAGCCCAGGCCTGGCCCGGCTGTGCCATCCAGGAGGTAGTTTTGCCTGAGTCTTGTAACACTGCTGGCAGGGGGTGGGAGAAGGGGCTGGAGGGGTGGAGGGTCCCGCTGGCAGGACCCCCCCCAGCCCCTACACGGAGCTCTCGTCCAGCTTCTCCACCAGCTGCGTGTGTTTCCGCTTCTCCAGGATCTTGCTGAGCTCCTCGGTGAAGGATGCGCTGTAGAGCGGCGAGACCAGCGGCTCCTCCTGCTGCTGCAGCAGCATGTAGCTGTTGCCATTCATCTTGCGGAGCACATTGGGCAGAGACCCCACGCCATTGGTGAGCTCGGCCGGCAGCGGTGGCGGCAGCGGGGGCACAGCAGCCGGCAGCTCCTTCACTGGGGATGTGGCAGCCGTGGGTGCCTCACCAGGGATGATCCGCAGGCGGCCATCGGGGTAGGCGAGCTCTTCCTCCTCCTCCTCTTCCCGGTGGCCCTTGCGCAGGCAGTTGGCTGAGACGGTCTGCAGCTCCACACTGGCTGGCCGCGGATCCCCCAGCACATACTTGCCTTTGCGCTTCTCCAGGCAGGACACATAGAGGAGGACGGTGCTGAGCACGGCGCACAGCACCACCAAGGCGATGATGGCAGAGACATAAGCCACCTTCATGTCGCTGGCAGCCTGGCTGATAGCATGGGGCCGTGAGGCGGCCGTGGGGATGCGGGGCAGCTCAGTCAGCACGGTGAGGCTGTAGGCAGCCAGCAGCGTCCGGAGACCACGCTCCTCGCCATAGCAGCGGTACTCGCCGCTGTGCTGCGGCAGCGTGTCTGTCACCAGCAGCCCGTCCACCCCGATGCGCAGCCGGTCCTGCCCCGCGTCCAGCGCCTCGCTGCCGTTCAGCAGCCAGACGGCTCGTGCCAAGTTGGAGCGCTGGTCGCAGGGCAACAGCACGTCGTCCCCCTGCAGCACCGTCCGGTTCTTCCATGGCAGAGAGCCTGTGGGGACAAGCACTGCCTTGCACCATTCCCAGTCACCCTAAGGGATGCCAGACACCAGCATCCCCTGTGGTCGCAAGGGGCTGCACAGACTCACCCCGCCCAGAGCTGCTCCGGCATCCCTCGTTGCCACTCTGAATGTCCTGCACCAGCCCTGCCCTGCAAGACACCAGGGTTTCAGCCATACAGCCCTGACTGAGCCCACCCTTATGGGGTCACAGCCACCTGGGGGATGCCAGACCCTTGAGGTGGCATTGGGGTGACTGTGCCATGGGGTGATGTGGGCAGGTGGAAGGCTCATGGGGACCTCACTGGGGATGGGCAGCCTGTCCCTACCTGTCTGTGGTGGCAGTGGCGCAGCAGGACCTGCCATCCCAGGCGCAGTAGGGGTCCCGGGCGAGGATGCAGTCATAGCAGGAGGTGTACCTACTGCAGGAGGCCAGGGGCACCTGCAGGATCCCAGTGGCTCCCCCCACGTACAGGCTTCTCTGGGGGAAAAGGACTGGCTCAGCACTGACCTGGCATGGTGCAACTGGGCTATGGGGTGCCCCATGCTGCCCAGAGATCCAGCTCTCCCTTGGTGTGGTGCATGGGGGAGGGACCCCAGCTCCAGTCGGTGCTGAATGGCTGCAGCAGGAGGCCATACTGCTCCCTTTCCTTAGGCTCTGGCATGTGTCCCGAGCTGGGGTGACCCAGGAGTCATGTTTCCCCCATTCCACAAACAGCCCAAAGGCTGCAGCACAAACATGCCCCATATGTGGTGTCCCCCCACTTCTTCCACCCCTCACCTGGGCATGGGAGATCACCAGGCTCTCCACAGGCTGCGGGTCCCTAAACACCTGCACCTCCTCCACGATGTGGATGCCGGAGCCCACCACCACAGCCTTGTGGATCCAGCCATCCCCTGGAGAGCAGAGCAGGAGGTCAGGAAGGAGTGTGGGGTGTGCTCCCTGCCTGCAGAGACCCAACAAACTCAACCCGTGCTCACCCGTCCCCATGAAGAGCACATCGTAGGAGCGGCCATCAAGGGCCTGCACCCTGTCCACGGCCAGCTGGCTGTACACCACGCTCTTCTTTACCAGCAGCGGCTCCCCGCCAGCCGGTTTCACCTCCTCAAACATGAGCGGGTGCAGCTTCACAAAGTCCAGGACGCTGTTGGGCAGGTCCTGCGAGGAGTTGTAGCCCTTCCTGCGGGAGCGGTCCGTGATGCACTGTGCAGGGGAGACGCGGGTCAGGAGGGGATGCAGCTGCCCTGTGTGCCCCCATCTCCACACCCACAAGCACTCACAGAGCCAGGTCGGGGCTCAGGCACTGCACCGTCATAGCGGGACCACTTGTGAGCCGAGTCCTGGTACTCCATGTAGGGGCCCTCGAAGGCACGCTGTACTGCTGAGATGCTGTAGCGGCACACGGCCGAAGCCTCCATGGTCCTCCTGGGGGATAAAACCCCACCTGAGCCCAGGCAGACATAGGGGTGCTCCCCACCACTGCACCCCCAGGTGCTCAGCACCTGCCTGCGTGTCCCCTTGAGCATCTCTGGTCTCCCCCCATGACTTTTAACTCCAGCCATTTTGGCTGCTGCCCTGCTCACCACTGCGCCGAAAGCGTGAAGGCAGCATAGAAAACGGTGCTGGCCCAGCTGCCTCCATCCAGGCTGCAGACGCTGCGCAGCACCTCGTAGTAGGGGATGTAGCAGACCAGGCGTGCCTTCATGAAGGATGTCCACTTGCGCTGCAGGATCTTCTTCCCCCCCACGTCGCTCTGGGAGGGTGCAGGGAGCATTTCTGCACAGGCTGGTGGGGGTGCATGTCCCTCTGCCCATGCCTCGCTTTCCCGCAAGCCTCTGTCCCAGTGCTTGGCTCCCCGTGGCTGCAGACATGCCTACCTTGCAGACACGGGCCACCCGGGCTACTCGGGCCACCTGGCTCTTGTCGAAGAAGGATGTGGTCTCCTCGCCAGCCCACTCCGTGAAGAAGTAGTAGATTTTGTCATCGTCACCCACAGGGCTGTCCTTGCTCTCCCGGACCAGCACAGAGGCCACGAACTCAGCATCTGAGGAGCACAGAGTGAAAGCTGGAGGCTGGGGACCCACCACAGGATGGAGGATTGCTCCCTGCCTCAGTTTCTTCATGGCAAACCATACAGGACCCCAGTGGTACCCCAGTCCAGGTCCACGCTCCCCAAGGCAATGCACAGCATCCCACAGCCCACGACACTGGCCCCAGGGGACCATAGCAGTCTCACCGTTCAGCCAGTGCAGTGGGGATTCCTCTGTCTTCAGCGGCCGCTGGTGCAGGTTCCTCCGGATGTCAGGGAGGCTCCGAAATTCGTAGCGTGTGGCCGTGTACAATCCACCATCTGGGCAGGGCAGGCACCATCAGCATGGTGCTGCTCCTCAGGGATAGCCCCAAAAGCCACCAGCATCCCCATGCCCCAAGTGGAAAAGGAGGAAGAGGACCAAGGCCTGGCTTGCTAAGGCCCCTGCATACAGAGCCCACCCAGCTGGGGGAACCCCATGGGGGCACTGGGGATGGGGCCAGGGTCAGTGGCATACCACATGTCCCCACCAGCCCTGGCAAGGGTGCTGCTTACCCACGATGAGGCCAGTGTAGCCACGAGCAGGGTCGTACGGGCACTTCTCCTTGCCCTCCTCAAAGTATGATGGCAACGTAAATCTGTTGGCATCCTTGACGGGGACAGGGGACTGGGTTACACAGGAGGCGACAGACCTGCCTTGCCTGGTAGCCCCAAGCTCTCTGCTGCTAGTGGGGACAAAGCCATGCCCACGTCCTTGTGCAGGCAAGACAAACGCTCCCTGCACCCTCTAGCTGGTCGGAAACCACATGGACAGCCACAGCCCACAGCCAAGAGAAGGGCAGAGGGCTCAGAAGGAGCCTCAGCACCCCACTTTGGCATCGTGTGGGCACCAGGCAGGATCTGGCCAGCGCAACCCACGTTCCCAGGCTGTGCCTGGCCAGCAGACGCTGTCCAGCCCGGCTGGCTCCCCCCGGGGGATGTCCCTGTCACAGCAGGAGTTATTTTCTGTGGGGTTTGTAGTTCAAAGCACGTCAAATAATGACCGGGCCCTTCCAGCTCAGCCGCTGCTCCGCCTGACTCCCAGGGCGTGCGACAGCCAAACCGGACCGGCGACACGGTTGTGGGAATGGGCACGGCTCCCCCGGGATTCCCTGGCCGTGCTGCGGACATGGTCCCAGGAAGTCCCTTTGGTCCGGGAGGGAGGTGGGCAAAGGGCGGCTGAGTCATCGAAGAGCCTCCACACAGGGGTGAAAGTCCCACTGCCGGGAACGTGGCTGCCCCTGGCATCTGCCCTGAGTCATGGCCACACAAGGACCCCTGTCCTGGCCTGGGAAATCCCTAGGGATGGGCTGCTGAGTCAGCCCTGCCACCGTCACCCCTCCTGCCATTACCACCCTTCCAGGCATGCTTGCCACTGGCCACCAGCCAGACTGCAGCCCCTGATCTGGGAAGGGACCCTGCAACAGCAGGAGCTGGGGACCAGCTCCAGTGCTGGCACATCCCACCCCACTGGTCTCACTGAGCCCACATGCCCCACCCCCGTCACCGATCCACCCCCAGCCATCTTGCCATGGGGTCTGAGTCCAGCCCCAGTGCTGTGGATGCACGGTGCTGCATCCCCAAATCTACCCACCCCAGCCTGGGGGTCACTCGCCTCCCCCCTGAGCTGGTAGGACAGGGGCAGAAAGGGAATTAGGCTGTAGGGGAAGATGGTGTGAGTGCAGGGGCTGCACCACACCGGGGTGACATGGTGGCAGGGGACAGGGGACAGCCGTGGGGCTGAGCAGGACTCACGATGGCAGCGCAGAGCGGGTGGAAGGCGTAGGTCCCGCAGGCATAGAGATGGGTGCTGTTCAGCCTCTGCAGAAACCGCACGTGGTTGAAGCACTCGGTCTGCAGAGGGGGAGGGCAGGCGTTAGAGTCTGGGGAGGCGGCAGCAGCCCCCCCAGCACCCACCCACCGGCTCTACCTTGTTGTTTTTGCCCTTCTGCAGGCAGTCCATCTGCTTCTCTGGGGAGGCTTCCCACTGGATCTGCAATGGAAAGAGGAACTTCCCCCATCACCACATGGTTCCGCCATCACTGCAGGCTCCAGCCTCTGCCAGAGCCTTCAGAGATGCTAAAATCCTCCGCACGAGATGGCATCCCTCCCCACATCCCCACCCCAGGGTGAGAGTGATTCCAGACCCTAACCAACAGGCGCCTGGAGGAATTTTGGGGTATCCTTCCCAGTGGGAGCAAAGGTGTAATGCTTCTCCCCTGCCCTTTGTCCTGAGAGGGTGTCCCTGAAGCAGGCAGCTCTGAGCCTGGGGGCACCTCCCACCACTGTCCCCACACTGCCTAGCTAGGGAGAAGGTCCAGATGTCCACAGGGGACCTGGGGACAGCACCTCCAGGCAAGACCTGAGGTGGGGAGAGGGAGGATGAGCAGGGTGGCCAGAATTCGTGCAGGGAGCGGGCAGAGTGGGACAGGGGAGGACGAGCAGCTAATGGCAAGTAGGGGCCAGGCTCACCGTGCGGTGGGAGCCGTCAGCCACGTCGCTGGAGTTGAGGGCGAAGATGGCTCCCCTGGCCCCCACGTAGAGGATGCCACGGTCATCCTCCAGCAGCAGGGTGCTGTAGTTGAGGGTGCGCGCTCTGAAGCGCCGGACGCCCAACAGCTCTGCAAAGGGAACAGGGGGCTGAGGGAGGACCCTGGGGCAGGCATGGCGAGAGCCACAGGAAAAGACAGAGAACGGAGCTGGGAGCGGGTGGAAAAGCACCACCTGAGGTTATTGGGCTGGTGGTACTGCCTGCCAGTGGTCCAGCATGGGCCTGCCACACTGTCTGGAGAGCAGTCGGAGGAAGCGAAACCACACCAGCAGTGACCCAGCTCTGAACCGAACCCAGCCAGTTCAAAAGGATGCACAAAACCTGAACCGAAACTGCTGTGCAAGGGGAGGGCTTCTGCAGCCAGGCTGGGTGCTCCCTGCCCACTGAGCTAGAGAAACCGTTCAATCTCGGCTGCTGAGAAGTGCCCTGGCCAGAGGAACCCCAAGCCAGGAGGCTCAGACCCTCCTGCCACAGGAGGGGAAAGTCCCATGGGGCTTGGGACCCTGGAGGCAGCTGGAGGGGAATGACCTGTAAAAGGAGGCACTGTCTGGAAGAACGAAAGGGCACCCTAGTTGCAAATGAACCACTGTCAACTGCTGAGCTGGGCTTCACTAAAGAGGTCAGTGAAGTCACGTGGATGCCCAGGGCACAATGACACTATGGGGCTGGCTGAGGTTGGAGGCCAACAGCCTAGTGGCAATTAGAGAAAACCATGGAAGGAAGCTCCCTGCTGACTATTTGGGTGTGATGCCCAGCTCAGGACACTCTTCAAGGGCAGCTGGGCAAAGCCAGGGTCTGGCCAAGGCTGGCTCCCTGCACATCTTTGTCCTCCTGAACTGGCTATTGGGGAGAGCCCTTTGCATCTCCACTGATCCGTCCCTCAGGGTACATCAACTCCAGGCATCCAGCAACAGCAAGCCATGCGGGCTCTGATCACTGGAGCCCAGGGGACCCCCTGTAGCCACCCACCATGCCAAACTTCCCACTCCAGGGGCCAGGGAAGTCTGAATGCAGTCACAATGCAACAAATTCAGTGACGGCAAGATCTGCACCACCACCACCAAGACCCACACCCCCTTACCCTCAAAGGTGACTGTTGTCCTGGGGGTGGCATCCAGGTCAGTGGCAGAGCGCCGTGACGGGTAGCCTATCACTGCCGTCACCGCCATGAAGAGAGCCGTCAGGAGATGGGCTATGCCTCTGCTCATCTTCCCGCTGCCCCGCTGAGGGCAGCTGCCCATCTCGAGGCTGCCGGGCTGGCAGAGCCAATCCTTGGGACACGCTCCCCAGCTCCCTGGGATGGGGATGGTCACCAAAGCCTCCTGAAACACAGAGCACCGGGTCAGATGCTCCTGCTGCCCCCAGCACCTCACCAGCAATGGGCTCGGGAAGGAGCTGGCTGCACTCACGCATGGATGATTGACTGGGCATGGCCTCAGCCCAGGGACAGCTTCAGGGAAAAGCAAACCCTTGTTTGCCAACGGGGAAACTGAGGCACAGTGCAAGGCATCGAACCTGCAGCTAGCACAGGGCAGGGAGCCAAGTCCGAGCAGAGCCCCTGGCTCAGTGTCCACTTGCTGAGTGCTTGACTGGGTTGCTTGGAGGTTCATTTTCCTTCAAGTTTGCTCCAGGCTCTTCCCTCCTTCCCTCCCAGCCATCCTCCCCCCGACTGAAGGATATACTTCGGCACAGACAGCTGATCCCCCACTGCATTTTCACACCCAAAATGCAGGCACAGTTACCCCCAAAAGCAGAGTGCAGGGCTCAGGGCTGAGCCCCTCTGAAGGTCTCTTGGCACACTGGGATACCCCAAGCACTGCTCCCAGCTGCGGCAGGAGGGCTCCTGGGGAGCCCAAAGGCTCTGCTCCTCCCCTGGAAGCACAGCTGATGGCAAGTGGGAGGATAAGCAGGGATAGGATGGCCAGAGTTCGTGGCTCCTCACATGAAAGATACTTGTCCCCACAGTTTTGCCCCTCCTGAAACGAGATTCCTGAGGACAGAAGCAGGGGGAAGTATGCTACAGGCATGCAGTGATGCAAGGTGAAGGAAAACCCATACAGGAACCACTTGGCATCTTCATCAAGTCTTTCCAGGTGAGAACGGTTTTTTCTCCCCAGTGTTTATCCATGAGTTTTCAGTTCCTCTTTCATCCCAAGCTGCCTTGAAGCTCAGCATCTACCTCAGCTCTCACTTTCATGAATTCAGTCCCTCCCAAATAATCCTCTGCCTCTCCTGGCTGCACTGAGCAAAGCCACTGGTTCATTTTACAGGCACTAAGGACGAAGAAGCTGCCTGGTTATCTAGAGCAGGAGAGCTTTCCATAAGCAACCAGCACCTATACGTTTGCTTAGTTGTTGGGGGTTTTTTATCTATATAAAGCAAATACCTGGCCCTGTAGAGAAGCTGCCCAAACACGCTTGCTGCAGTTTCCCTGAAGCAAATACCTCACCGGGTCTCAGGCAGAGGGGAGATAAAACCAAAGTGAAACAGAAGCGAAAAGGGCTTTAGGGCTCAAAAGGAGAAGTGAGGAGCTGGATGTGTGATCCAGCTGCAGTCCTGGATCCTGTGTTAAACCGCTGTTTCCTTTGGGGGAATTCAGCCACAGACCTCACATCTGTATTGGCTGCTGCCCTGGAGCATCCCAGGAATGGGGCAGAGGTGAGATGATCCCCCTGCTGCTCCCTCCTGCCTCACTGCACCCCAGACACCAGCCCAACATAGAGCATCCATAGAGCACCCAACCCTGGCTGCAGGCAGGGTGCTGCCCACAGAGCTGAGCTCCCTGGCAAACAGAGGACGATGATCCAGAGCATCATCCCACCAAGTAACTTCTGATCCCAGGACAAGCCCTGTCCAGACCAAGGGTTTGCTAGTGAATGATGGGCCTGGCAAGATGATGCAAGGTGAGTGAATGGGGATGGAGGTCACAGAAAAAGTAGTTGCTTTGATGGCACCATGAGCCAAACCCACCAAGCTATTAGGGCAAAGCAAGTGGTGGGGTCACATGTGGAGCACCAAAGCACCCAAAAGCACTCCAGCCAGCCCCATGCTGACACCTCTCCATACTGCCAGTGGGACCAGGGCCACTCTGCTGCAGGGACCTTCCCCAGGCCTCTGTGTGGGGACACGAGCCAGAATCATGCACAAGCCACAAAAGCTGCCATACACTCTTGCTGGGAAAGCAGAGGGGAGGAGAAACCTCCTTACAACCAGGCAAACAACGATCTCTAATAAATGAGTAACAGCCCTGCGAGCTGCCTGCACGCTGCCATGCATCCTCACCTTATCTCCCTTGAACAAGCACTGAACTTTGCCTGCTGCTTGGCTCCAGACGCGACAGAGATTGGAGCTGGGAGTGTGGCTGGGCAGGGAGGCAGGGATGGTGCTTTTCACAGGGCAAGCACCACGATGCCAGCCAGCCCTGGCTAACGTTTAACCAGAGTCAGCACCAAGCCACCATGGAGTGGGGGGAATAAAAATAGTGAATTAAGGTGTGGGGCTGTACAGGGTTCCCAGGCAGGCAGGGGCAGCAGGAAACAGCCTCCCCTGCTGCCAGGGCTGGGATCCTCTGGTTTTAAAAGGGGAGAAGCTACACTCTGGAATTTCCAAAGGCTCCTTTGCTTGAGATCAGATGTAACTTTGTCCTACAGGACGTTTAGTCAGTTAATCTAAGAGCCAGTTAATCTTTTACTTGAAGGGAAGGGCTGCTGTGAGGTTCTCTGCTTGCATTTTTTATACCTAGGATGGGGGGAGAAAGAGCAAGGAGGAAATGAAATCATCCTTGACCCCGCTCAGATTGTCACGCCAGGCTGCTGCCATACCAAACACCCCCAAACCCATCATTCCCCCTTGGATGGGTGCAAGTTCAAAGCAAGGGCTGGGGAGGGAGGTAGAGGAGGTCTCGGTCCGTGGGACCCACTGGTAGGGTTGGGGTCAGGTGGGTTGCTCAAGCCCAGCACTCCCATGGGAAACAGGAAAAAGGCAGGAGAAACGCCACAGAGAGTTTTTCCCTGTGGGAGGAACACAAACGGGTGGAGAAAAGAGGCTGAAAAGCAGCAGCAGCTCCAATGGAACCTGAGGTTTAAGAGAAAAAACACCCAGGAAAGCCCATCCCACCCCCAGGAGCAAGTTCCTGAGCCCCTCAGCACCTCACCTACTTCCCAGCGTAGGGGGGACCGACATAAGACCTGCAATCCAGCAACGCTGAAGGAGAAGGGTGGTGGAGGCAGGACCCGGCTGCAGGGCTGACGGTCACCACGAGGAACCAACCACTCTGATCTCAACGTGCAACATCCATGGAGGCCAAAGCCCCTCTCCTACCGCCGGCGATTGGTGATCCTGCAGGATGTGGCCGCGGCTCCCGGCGCTGTCTCCCGCCGGCAGAATGGGTTTGCTGGCCTCCGCGGAGCACGAGGAAAGCAGTGCGGCAGCAGAGGCAGGCAGGCGTGCGTGAGCGTGCAGGGGAGCGAGCGAGCCCCGGTCAGGTCTGACTGGGTTTACTGGGTCACGGCGGAAGCTGTGTGAGCATGACTGTGCCGGCCCCAGCCTCCCACCAGCAGCCAGGCTCACGGCACAGCACAGCACAGCACAGCACACCCAACCGAGCCGGCCCAGGCGGCACCTCCTTAAAATCCCTGCGACCAGCGTCTCTGGAGGCGCAAAAGGCTTTTGATGAGTGAACTTCCCGGCGGCAGGTCCCGACAACCTGGATCCGGCCAAAGCCGCCGCACCCCTCAGCAGCTGCTGTGCCAGGAGCTTCTGCTGCCCATGGTGGCCCCTTCCTGCTGCCCCATGGTCCTCAAAGCCACGAGGCAGGGAGCCCTGGCAGCCAGAGCCACTGCATGCTGCAGTGCAGGGAAGCTGCGCTGTCAGTGGGGCTGGCAAACACGGAGGGACCTCAGCCAGGATCTTATGGGCCTCCCATGGCTGTTTCCTTGGCAGCACAGCCAAAAATGATGCTGGTTGTTTAATTTAAAGGAGAAAAAATGGAAATGCTGGGTGGGAGCTGCCCTTCTCTGGCTCACCCCCAGCATCCACCCTGCATGGCAGAACAGAGATCTGCAGAGTGGGATGGGACATTTCCCCATCCCGCTACTCCAGGGACAGCTTGTGGTTGCTCCACCAGGCTCTAGTAAAGCCCAAGCAGGCTCCTGGACCCTTCTCCCCTCCTCATGGGTTGCCCTCCCTCGGCATCACGCACCCCTACCAGCAAGAACTGCTGGCTTCCCAGTGGGGGCAGGATTTCCAGTGGATCTCCTCTGGGTTACGGGGCTGCAAAACAGCCTCAATAGAACTCCTGGCAGGACTGCACTGGGAGGCACGGTTTACACCTTGCTTTATCACAACAGCCCAGCCTAAGCACCCCAAACCCTGTGCAGCCAATTCAGGACCAAACCTGGCAGGTGACCCCCACCCCCCCAGTCCCTTCAGCTCCCCCACCGTGTTCCCACTGGCCCGGCACCATTTTACATCTCCAAGGACCTGTGTGAGTTGCCCTCGGGTTCAGCTGAAACAGCCAGACCCGTTCCTGGTGCAGGAAGAGGGGGAAAGGTGCTTGCCCTGGGGGATGAGGTGGGGAGAGCTCCCAGGCGTGGGAATGAGCCAAGGAATTACAGGAAATGAGATATCCAGTGAGAGGCAAGCCTGGCCCCTGCATGGCTGCGAGCACAGTGTGCTTCAGGCTCCCCTTCCCAGGAGCCAACAGACCTTGAGTGGGAAATCCTGCGAGATGTGGGAAGAAGAGCCGGGATGGAGGTTGCCAGGCAACTTTAATTCAGTCCTTGATGAACTTCCAGCACTTTGCTTTTGCCGCAGAGCCCAATCAGCAAATGATAAAACATCAGGTCCCCCTGGAGCTCATGGTATCCATCCACCCATCCATGAATCCATCTATCCCACGGGCTTGCTCATGGCCACAAGCCCAGGTTGCCCTGCAAGGCAATGGGTGCCTCCCCTTTGCCCCCCAGCAGCATCCCCAGAGGCCAGCCCAGGACAAGCTGCCCTTCTCAGCAGAGGTTTGCAGGGCAGGATCTGACCCGTGGGACTGGGCTGGCGCTGCCGCACGGATATTTCCCAACCAGCCAGGACTTTTGTCAACAACAGCAAAAAAAAAAATCCCCAAACTTGCTGGAAGCCCTCAGGGCAGAGGGGACCCGCGCTGGGTTTGGGGGCCGGGGAGGGAAGGAGCACAGTGACCTCCTGGGAGCCCCTCATCGAGTTTATTTTAGTTGCTCTCTTTAAACAAAACCATGCTTGACCCTGGGGCGCTTCAGCAGACACGCACAAGGGCTTCAGCGATTCAGGAAGCAGATATATCTGTCTTTTACCCAAATTTGGGATTCAAGCACAAAGGAGGAGAGGGGGAGCAGCAACACTGCCTCCTCCCAAAGAGCATCCTGCCCTGTTCCCGCCACAAAGCCCCTGCTCGCAGCACAGCCACTGTGGAGCCAGGCGGGCCATGGGAATGGTCTCTTATTCTCTCTGGCATGACACAGCCTCATCCACCATCAGCAGAGCCCTTGCACCTCCAGCACAAGAGAGCACCCAGCCCTGGTCCCACAAGGGTCATGGCAGGGAGGACATGCATGATGGAGCAAAGTGATGGATGGGAGAGCAACAGGAGCCAGTTGGGGACGTGGGCTGACTTAAGGGGCACTACTGCCGGCAGGAGCCAGACATCTAAACATCCCAAAAATACAAACATCTGTCAGCAATGAAACTAACAACAGCCCAATTTCTGACAGATTCACGCCACTGCCTCCAGTGCCATGCCTTTATTTCCATCCCCCTGCAGCATCCCTGGGGAATGCCACCTGCCCAGCAAGGGGCAGGGACCAGCCAGGGTGTCCCCTTGCATAGCTGCAGGGATCGGGATGCTTTAGCCTCTCCCCAGCTTCCTGTTTTCACTGATCTTACAAGAACTCGTTCCTCTCCTCCATCTGGGCAGGTCTGATGTGGAGCAGGAGGTTCAAAGGGGCTGTCAGGCAGTAACGGAGCTCACTGCCAAGTCCTAGGGAGAGCTCTCCTGCCATTCCCATCCAAACCCACCCAAAAAACCCAACTGGGAAAATAAGGAAAGCTGCTCTGGCCTGTGCCATGGGCAACCATCACCTGCCTGCAGCCGCCTGCCAGGCATAAGGATGGCTCTGCTCCAGCAGCTCCCGGCATGCCACAAGCAGACGGTGAGAGCACGGTGCCCAGGATGGTAGGACAGAGCACTCCTCTGCTCCCTGTCTGTATGGAAAACCCACCAACACCAGCTGATGAATGAAACAGTTCCTCGCCTGGCTCCATCGCCCCAAAGCCTTGCTCAGAACTGGCCCCTGGAGCGAAGGGTGCAAGGAGGGGAGGCTGAAGGCATCCCATGACGGGATCAAGAGCTCTAAGGGATGTCCCAGACAGCCCAGACCTGGCACCCACAGGCAACACAGCAAATCTCCCCTCGCAGAAGCAATTCCCTGTGTGCCAGAGGCCATTTGGCTCTTGCAAGCTCTCAGTGAGGATACGGTCCCTGCGGCTTTTCCCTCCCATGCAGCACGTCTACTCCTGCCGAAACCCCACCGGAGCAGCCCCAGGCTGACCCTGCAGCCTGGGAGCACCAGAGAGCCCAGCCAGGAGCCATGCAGGAACTGGGAAGTGGAACTGGATGATGCTGAGACGTTGACCTGACTCTGACTTCACCTATCACCAGCCCCAGGCCGCTGGGGAGGCAGAGTGCAGTCACCAAGCCCCAGGATGCGGAGTGCAGACCCCGGGGCTCCCATCTCCTCCATCGCACAGAAGCAGCATGCTCGGTGCTAGCGACACCACCCCCAAACCCCAACCTTTTCCATCCTTTCCATCTGCAGCATGCCAAGCTTTGCCGCTTGCCTGCAGCCCCTTGGTGGCTGGATGGACAGATAGAGAGCTGGACAGACTGCCCTCCACATCACAATGGATTTTCCCAGCAAAGGGGGTGTTCATATCCAAGTAGCTCAGTGCTGGATGGGCTCTGCAATTCAGCCTTCAAAGGCTTTGTGGCTGAAGCACATTGTCTTCTCAGGAGAAGCAGGAAAATAATTGTAGAATTAAATTCCCAGGAACAATTAGAAGGAAAATGAGAAAAAAAAATCCCAGC